AATATTTGCATATTTGTTTAAAGTAAAATCAAATGTGTGTTAAATGTTTTAAATGTGTTAAAAAATAATGTTTTTATAAAGCCATAAATGTTTAGCTGTAAAATTTAACGAACCGGTTGGAAACGGTTAAATCGGTTATGAAACGGTTTTGACATTTTTGCTTGAAGCATTGCTGTATATGTCGAAATAAACATATACTCAAATAATTCGGCATAAATCTGTGAAATGAGCACCTAAATAATATGGAAAATTCGTAAGCTGTGAAAAAACATAGATAATTCCGAATTTTTTTTTATAGCAATTTTAAAGAAGTTATTTAAAATGATTACTTTTTAATATTAAAATTGCATTTTAGTATATGAAACATCGTACTTGCATATACCGGTTGAAACGTTTGCATGAAAAATAACGAAAATGACAGACATATTTATGTTTATATATATAAGAAACGCGTAAGCTATTAAATAAATAATTAACCGGTGTGAAAAAAATTTAATGAAAAACAAGAGTTTTATAGAAATCACTTGGGGATAAAAGTACTTTTATGCAAAAATGACTTATACATTGTACGAAACTTAAAAAATCTATTAAGCGGTCGATATCGGTTGAAACGGTTTCGACATTTTTTCTCAAAAACACTTTAATATATGCCAAAAAACCTATAGAGCCTTTAAATTCTTTGAATCGGTTGAAGCGGTTATGAAACGGTTTTGACATTTTTGCTAAAAATATACATTTTAAACTCAAACTATGCATAATTTAACAAAAAAATATGATCAATAGTGGAAAATTAAAAAAAAAATAAACTTTTTAACAAATAAATTGACTCTCCATGTCTGATTTATGTAAACTCATTGTAAAAAACAAGTAAAGCCAATTTCAAACTGATCAACTTTTGTTATCGCGCGCAGCAACGCCCCTTAAGCAGACCGTAAGCCGCAGTGACTGCGCACAACGTTAACTGGTTGCACCTGTTCTTACTCGACATACTTACTTTCAATACATATTTACGCAAATGAACGCCAAAATATGTAGAAAAAAAAACACCCTTCACCACTGTCGTCCTTTCATTTTCATTAATGATCTTGCATATTTTTATTTGGGAATTTTTTATTCCTTCGCTGAATTGCTAAATGTTCTACACTCGAACCGCAAAAATAATTTGCATACCAAACACATTATCCTTAATTGCCAATGTGCCACATGTGGTGGGTATATACATTTACCATTTGGCACTTATTAAAAGGCTGCGCTGCTTAGCCGAGCATTCAAGTTTTTCGAAACGTCAAGTGCTTGAGACGGATTTATGAAAAAGTGGCCGTGAAAAATATATGCATGTTCTTAGTATTATTTCGCATCTCAGGCCTACCTACGTGCCTTTAGGGTACTTTCAACTGGGTGATTCCGCGAATTTTTTGTGCTTCTTTTGTGTTTTTGTTTTTATTTTTGGCGAGTTTTTTGACTTTGCGGTTTGAACTTGAAAACAGACTGTTGTACTACCGTGTACAGAATTTTTATATAATGTTAAACTTTTGTAAGTACGAAATCTTAGTATTTGAATTATAGCCTTTGACTTCTCAGCAAGCACTCACAGGCTGCGACTTGAGAGAGAGAGAGAGAGAGAGAGAATGAAACGAAAGACTTTAGGACACGAACTTGTTTTGCTTTTAAGAGAAATACCGTGATGTTATTTTCGTTTTAAGCCGATAGCCCCAGTAGCTTATGCTAAGATAATTGTTTTATAATTTTAATTATAATTAACAATTAAATTAATAAAAATAATTTTTCCTATTTTAAATTAAAGCTACTAAGTAAAAATTATCAGTAAACAAAATAAAATTAAAAAAAAAAATTAAATCATAAAATAAATATTAATTTTAACGATTAAATTAAAAAACTGGGAATTAAATAAATTAAAATTATAAAAAAAAATTATTTAAATAGTAAAGCAAAAAAATAAAAACATAAAAAAATTAATACAAATAAAAAACACTAAATTAAATAAAAAAATAAATCAAAATTTAAATAAAAAATTAAGAAACTTTAAATTAAAAGAAAATTATTATTAATTAAATTAATGTTAAATAAAAATGTAAAACTCATAAAAAAATATTATACATAAAATGGAAAACTAAATTTTTATAAGAAAATTTAAATTAAGGAATGTATAAATAAAAAAATTAAAGATGATATAACGTAAAAATTACAACAAAGAAGAAAAATAATATACAAAATAATTAACTTAAAAAAAATTAAACAATAAAAAAATAAGAATTAAAAAACACTTAAGATAAATAAAAAAACATATACAAATAAATTGAACAAATTTAATAAAACACAACTTAAACAGAAAAGATTAGTTAAATTAAAATGAAAAAACAAAAAATCAAAATAAAATAATTTAAATACGTTACAAAAATTAAAAATATATAGTAATATATACTAAAAAAATATATGTATATAATTAAAACACATATAATTAAACAAAACTGAAAAAGTAGTACTTAATGAAATTAAATTAATTAAAAAATAATTATAAAACAAAAGAATCTAAAATAAAGTAATACGCAGCAAGAATTAAAATCACAATGAAGCTAATAAAATTTCAATTACAAAGCAAAATAAAATAAGAAAATAAAAAATTAATAAATAATTCCAAAAAATATAATAAAATAAATTAAAAAAATAAATAAAATTAAAAGGAAATTCAAAAATAAATCTAATTAAATAAATTTAAAAGATAAAACTAAAAATAAATTCAAAAATGAATCGAAATGAAAAATATAAAAAACTTAACTGAAAAAAAACAATCAAATTTTATCAAATCAAAATAAATGAGATGAATTAAAAAATATGTGATAATAGGTAAAAACGTAATAACTGAGAAAAATGCATACATCATAAGTCAAAATAAAATAAAAAAAATATAAAGTATTAATTAAATTAATTAAACCTAAATAGATATTTACCTTAAAATCAAATATAAAAAACCAATTAAAAAATAAATCAAACAAAGAGTAAAACAAAATAAATCTAAATAAATTAAAATAAAAAAAAACTCAATAAAATAAACTAAAATAAAGTTAATAAAAAATAAAAGAAACTAAACTAAATCAATTAATTAATTAGACCAAAATAGATATTTACCTTAAAATTAAATATAAAAAACAAAATAAAAATAAATCAAACAAAAAGTAAATCAAAATAAATTCACATAAATTAAAGTAAAAAAACTCAATAAAATACATATATACAATAAAATGAAGTGAAACAAAATAAAAAAAGAAAATAAAATAATAAATAGAGATGAAAAAAAATAAAACAAAAATCATTTATATGAGGCTTAAATTAATATAATAAAAAATTATTATATAACATTAAAGAGGAAAAAATTTAAAATATCTTTGGAAGTATGTAAGCTGCTTTGTGATTATTTCAATATTAAACGAACATTTTTGTTAAACACTCAACTGTATTTGGTGCCAATTTTAATGTCAACTACTTGTTTATAAGTATTCCCAATTCCTTATTATAATTTAAATGTAAATTTTCCTTAAGTTGATGTTATTAAATAAAAAAAATATATTTTGATGGAATTAACTTTATAGCATCTCTGTGCAGCCGGAAATCCGGCACCCACAATTTCCTGGTCACTATAAATTAATTGATTAATTCGACAGCTAAGGCAAAAATTAATGAGATAAAAAAAATAAGAAACGAATTATAATTAAAGAAATATATTATTTAAGCAGTAATAGTAATTTGGTATTGAAATAAATTTCACAACACAAATTTAAATTAAATTAATTAAAAAAAAAAAATAAAAAATAATATGAAAAAAATCAAAAAAAAAAAATTGCTAAAATCTTTATCAATTAAATTTAATTACTAAAACAAATACAATTATATAAAGTCGTAAAAAACTGTAAAAATAAATAAATGAAAATTGCAATAAATCATACACAACACATGCATCTCCTGCATCTCTTTTGCTGCGCGCTCTTTATCATCTTTAAATGAGCCGTCACCTGCTAAGCTCAAGCGTTTAACAGCGCATTAAATTTTCGACGCCTCACCTGCGCATACTCATGTATATATCGCTACCAACCAGATGCCGTTAATGGCTCATTGAGTCAAGATTATAGGCGAAACACAGCGCCAACCAGTCAGCCAGACAGCCAGACAGCACTGTTGGCAGGGGCAAGTTGTTACGCGGGAGTTTGCCGTATCTTTGAGTCATGGCCAAGCCCAGATCGCGAATGCGTCAACAGCGAGGAGTTAGCAAACGCGTTCGGCTAGTTTTGAAGCGTTTAAATTTACGACAAGTAGTTTTTCTTATATTTTATATAGTTTTTATGCATTTTTTCTCTTAGTTTTAACCATCTTTTGTCTGTGGCTTTTGGGTGCCGCCAGCTGCGCGGTAGATTAACTTATATTTTATGCCATAAAAATGTATGTATTTATGTGTATATGTACACAGGCGCATTAGTTAGCGGACTGGATTTTTGTAAACAAACAATGAGTGTGTGTGCGCGCAGACGCGTAGGCGTCGTAAACTTGTTTAAGCGGAATTTTTTTTATTGTTTACACTAAAGCAAAGTTTCACTTTTTTTGTAAAATTTTTCATTTTTCTGTTCTGCTTTGTGCGGTACAAATTATTAACAACTAAATAATTTGGTTATGCAAATTAAATTCGTTAGAAAAAAATAAAATAAAATAATTTAATTTGCATAAGAAACAAATCGTTTCAATTAATTTGAAATGCGTGATTTAACATACAAACACGAAAAGTTATCAATTAACATACAGTTAGTTGAGTGAACTTGCCGCTTTCATGCCCTTCTGATTAGGTAAACAACTTATTTATTAATTTATTTATTATTTATTTAATTTATTTATTATTTATTTAATTAATTTATTATTATTTAAGTCCAACAAATAATACCACCGTGAATTTACTAATTTTTTACTTTATATTTCTTCTCTCTCTCTCCCATCAGGTTCTCCAAACTCCAACGATCGCGACGCTGGCTTCTGCTCCGGCAGCTCCGAGGGTGGCGACGATCTTGAACGCGATGCACGCCTCGAAACCAGCAGTCTCACGAGCCCCACCGACGCTACCACAGAGACATCTGAGGACTCCGTCGAAGTCAAAGTCACGCCCATCTCATTGGTACGCAACAAGCGCAAGAGTTCGGAGCCCTCAAAGGTCGTCGACGCTTGCACCACAACCTCCGTGTCTACACTCGCCACGGCGCCGCTCAAGAAACGCATACGTTATACCTCAACAACAGATTCGGCTGTGGTGTTGACACCACCCGCGCTCACAACGCCACCACCCACCACGCACGGCATCTGGGATCCTAGTCAAGTGTTGCCGCATGAATTGATGCCAAATCCCGCACAGGTCTTTGTACGACATCCAGGCGTAACCACGTTACATCGTATACCCACGCAAACAGTTGACGAGCAGTTGGAGCCACTCGCACTGATCGCGAAGAAACCAACTACAAATGTTGTTAAGGTTGAGTGCGAGGAGGCGCCCGCGTATGCGTCCACGAAATTTGCAAGCAATAATGAAGCGTCCACGTCGAGCGCATATGTGCCGAAGAAGCAACAAGCGAGCGCCAATAGTCAAATGAAGTTCCTGGCCAATAATAATAGCGCTATCGATGCTTTGCCGCTCGCGTTAACCGCGAACGTGCAGCATTACGAGGCGCTGCGACAAAATCGTCAGTTACAACAACAACAACAACATGCACCCGCAAATACCCACGCAACGGCAACCATAACCACCGCCAAAGCAGCCCCAACATCTGCGACGCAATACTACAAGCCCAACAGCGTTGCTGATGAGACGCCCAGCGGTAGCGGCGGCGCTGGCAGCAGTGCGAGTGGTAGTGGCAGCGGCAGCGCGCGTCCGCAACAACGCAACTACAAGAATATGACGCGTGAGCGCCGTATTGAAGCGAATGCACGCGAACGTACGCGTGTACATACCATCTCGGCGGCCTACGAGACATTACGGCATGCGGTGCCCTCCTATTCGAATGCGCAGAAGCTATCAAAGCTTTCCGTTCTGCGTATTGCATGTTCCTACATATTGACCTTGAGCCGCATGGCTGGTCACGACTACAGCGCTGACGGTTCAGAGCCAACGCTAGCCGATTGCTTTGACGCCGTCACAGAGACAATACAGACTGAGGGCAAAATCAGGAAGAAGAAAGATGAATGAAGTGAGAGACAGAGAGAGAGAGAGAGAGCGAGAGCGAGAGAGGAGTGCGGGAGCGTGCGCGTGAGCGCGAACGTTGGTTTCATTAGTGCGTTGGGCACTTAAGACTCTAATATTTGTTTATAACTTTGAATATATAGTTTTTACTAAGATTCGTAAGGCAAAGAAAGTACACATATTGTGTCCACAAAGCCGGCTAAACTTAAGCTAATGTAATGTAATAAAAGCTCACTCGTTATGTGAAAGTGTGTATTAAAACGAAAAAGCTTTAAAAGCGTTGATATGGCTTACAAAAAACGATCAGCTAAAACTAGAGCAGGAAAACATGAGCGCAGTGAAAGCTCATGCGAAAGCTCAATACTTTGATATTAAATACTAAGTAATAATTTTGATAAGTATTTTGTGATTAAAGAAAACGGCACAGATCTTTAATAATATTAATTGCGAGCAAATTGGTGGAGTGGAGAAAAAGTTAAAAATAAAAATAAAGTATTAAACTTAAAAAAATATATACATAAATGAAAGTTTTGAAAAAAGAAAGTACAAATTATATTAAAGCAAGCGAATTAGTTGGGATGAAAGCGTTATGAAAATGACAAAATGCAAAATGAAGATTAAATGAAATATTCAAAAAGTAATTTATTCAAACAAAATTTTTTCTTAAATTAAAACAAAAAACTTCAAAATAATAAGATTATTTTTAAAATAAAAAAAAAAATTTCCAAAAATATTTTGAACGAAGAAAGTGAAAAAACTAAAATTCATTTAAAAAAAATGAAGCAAAAGCAATTTATATTAAACAAAATTGCAAAAAAAAATCCATAAAGCAAAAGATATTTCAAATTGAGTTTAGCAGAAGCCGAAAAAATTAAGAAAAAAAACAATAAAAAATTTTCAATTTTTTTGAGAAACTGAACTCAAAAATATATTAAAAAAGAAAAGTTTAGTTCAACAGAAAAACAACAAAAAAAAAATAGAAAACATATTAACAAAATAATGAACTTGCAGAAAAAAGAGTAAATTTAAAAATAGAATTTCACAGAAATTTAAGAAAAATTGACAAGAAAAACCTGTACAATGTTTAAATATATTAAAGTTTTTTTTTTATTAAAAAAAGTAAAACTAAAATTTCAAAAGAAACATGCAAAAAGTATTTTCGTACAAAAATCCGCTGTAATAAGGTTTAATAAAGCTTTCGAAGTCAAAAAAGCACACTTTTTCACTTGCTTTATATGAGCTTTTACCAATAAATAATAAAAAAAACTTGAAAGCTGCTCAAATAAACTCAAGACAATAATTGTAAATTTTGCAGTCCAAATTTTTGAATGTGTAATTTTTTTTTTTGAAAACTTTACCGTAAAAAAAATAATAAAAAGTTGAAAAAAAAACAACAAAGTGACAATAAATTAATAAATAAATAAATTAATAACAAAGACAAACGTATTAAAAACTCCAAAATTTCAAAACTAGTTCTTTCGAAATTTTTTCCCATAAAACTCCTATAAAAATATACCTTCTGCTCCACTATTTAACAATATATTATATATGTAAGCATATTCACTATGTATGAAATTTCGCTCTTGTACAAATTAAACAATCTTAAACACATATGTTCACTACTACAGATAAAAGTACATATTTATGTCAGTGTAGCTACGTTAAATACTTAAAAAACAACAACTATATATTTAACACTTACATATGTATGTATGTAAATTTAAATTTAAATCAACAACATCCTATGGCAAAGAAAAATAATTATTGAAATTTAATAATTATTAATAAATTATCTTTAATTAATATTTAATTGTAATCTCATTGTTTTTAGTCTTTAAGTAGAAGTGCCATAAAATGTGTTAAAAGAGCAGAAAAGAAATGAATATATTAAAAAATAAATAAATAAATAAAAAACCTAAAACAGTTGCAAAATGTTGCAAATTAAAAGCAAAGCATAAAAGAAACTAAAAAACAAAAACAATGGAAATAAAGTTCAAGGTTACACTTTATGGTGTTTACAAAATATTAAAAAAAAAATTGTAAAACTGTTTTAATTTTTTGTTGGTGTAAAGCTTAGATTGGTAAGTATGAAGAAGAGGGAAAGAACAAGTTTCGAAAAGTGTCTCTTTTACAGGTCTAATGGTATGATTAAACTCTTAGATGGACCACTTTCTGATCACTGAAAGTGATTGAAAAATCGTCTCTTCTACGCCCCAAATAAAGGGTGCTTTTTTTTTAGACATGTGGATTTCAATGGGACAATATCTTTTTAGAAGCTGGTATTTTTTCAACTATTACTTGATTCAAACGACGCATCGCAAGCCCATATTCGGATGACATAACTGCCCAGCAGAGTCGGTAATTTGACTAACCAAGAATCGGTTTAGCACCACGTTTACTCTTGTTGATAAAACACACATAAAACTTGTTTGCTATTGTGAAGCAGAGTGTCGATGAAAACCCGAGGGAACAACACGTGGAGCTGCGCCCATACACTTTATGAAAGAACTCGTGCAAGCGTTGCAGCCGAACGACCATCATATCATGCGCGTTGATTGTTCGGTGTTGGGGTCCAAAACTTCTCACCAGAAAGCGCTGAAGCCCTCTTTTAGTTGATTAGGGTTACGGGGATGTTTAGGAGCAAAGCCACGCTAGGATTTTGGAAAATGCAATTTTGTATTTTTTCTTTTACTCACAGGGTAATTTTGAGTACTAGAAATGATATGTTATTGGTTTCAAAGTGAAAAAAAAAATTCAAAAATTCAAATATTTTGATGCAGCCCATCAGAGCGTGCGCTGAGTAAAATGAGAACTTTAAGAGCGTTTTTCTCAAAATCAAGTTTTTCAAACTGGGAGGACAGTTTAGTCGGACCATATTGCCTCGTAGTATCTTAAATTTAAAAAAAAAAATACATTATTTTTTGGAAGTATGTAGCCGTTTTTCGATTAAATGTAAACTTTTTTCTTTTTTTTTTAAGAGCTTAGTTCGTACTTTTCAGTTAAAAATCAATCTTTAAAAAAAATTTACCGCTTTCACAAAAATTAGTTAAAAAATAAATCCGTCCGTCTCAAGACCATAGATTTTAGATAATAAAACATTTTGCTTTTCTGTTCTAGATCTCAACCTAAAAGATCTCGGTCCTCCCGTGGACGCCTTGGAAAAAACTGCATAAAATAATGGACTTAATCACCGCCCTTTTGTAACCAATTAATATTAAAAGAATATTCTTTTATACTTCAATATATGTTCAATGAAATGCTTAAATAGGAAATCCATTCCTTTTCACTTATTCCTACAAAAAATTTAACAAAGTGGTTATATTTTTCAACCTCTACCTTTGTTTTAGCCACCACCCACCACCCACCATACACTGTTGAGGCACCATTAAATCTTCAAACCGTCACTGTTGCTCTATGGGCCGAAGAAATCATCGGTGGTCCCTATTTCTTCCAAACTGAACCGGTTATAATGTTAACATTGGTTCCAATAAGACGGCGCCATATGTCACATAGACCATAAAGCAAACAAAAAAAATCTATTTTCGAAACAGAAAATTATTTGTAAATACATATGCAAATAAGTTTCTTTGTGAAAGGGTTTGTCATTTATTAATTGGCATAGTCAAAGATAAGTCCAAACACCTGTACCAACGCAGAGTACAAATGTCCGCAAAATGTGAGTAATTATCACGTATTTCGCTTATCTCAATACACAAAAGTTTTAGAATTTTGGCGAATGTCAGATAAATAAAGAAAATAGCAATTTTGATAACGAAATTTTGATATCACCAGTGCAGTTGTACTGCGAACGAGTTTAGAGAGTGCGTGTGACCTAGTGAATATGTACAAGTATATACGTATGTAGAAGATATATGTATATGAAAGTACTCACATGTGACTCAGATCATCAATTTTTGCACAACAACAATTCTGGATATATATATATATTTGTAGGCATGCATACTGAAATAAGGCAAAAAAAAAATAATTAAATAAAAAATAATTAAAATAAAAAAAATGTGCAAGTTTAAATTTATGTAAAATGAAATTAAATAAAAATTTATAAAAAAAAATAAAATATTTAATTTCCTCCATTTTTTATTTTTTTGTGTTTATAATTTTTTATTTTTTGTGTAAAATTGGATTAAAGAGAAATTAAAACAAAATTACAAATATTAAAAAAAATGAAAAAAAAAACAAAATTATATTATTAACAAAAATTTATTTATTTATTAAAAGAAAAATAATACAAAAATGTTAAACACGAATAATAAATAAATAAATAAATATATGAAATAAAATAAAAATAAAATATCATAAACGTTATTAAAAAAATGGTATAAAATAAATATATAAAAAAATAATATAAAGTAAATTAAAACGAAATAAATTATTATAAAAAAATCGAGTGAAATAAAATAAAATGAAAATAAAATTAAACGAAGTATTGGGTTGCCCAAAAAGTAATTGCGGATTTTTCATATAGTCGGCGTTGACAAATTTTTTCAACGGCTTGTGACTCTGTAATTGCATTCTTTCTTCTGTCAGTTATCAGCTGTTACTTTTAGCTTGCTTTAGAAAAAAATTGCGCGAAATTTTGTTTACATTTGTTTGTTTGGCGTCAATTTTAATATAGAGCCCACAAAGGAGCATTTTCGTCATATTTTACTTTATTATTTCCGTAAAGGAAAAAACGCGGAGCAGGTTGCTAGAAAGTTACGAGATTTGTTTTGTGATGAAGCCTTAAAAGAAAGACAGTGTCAAAATTGGTTTCGCAAATTCCGTTCTGGAGATTTTTCACTTAAAGATGAGCCACGTTCAGGTCGGCCAAATGAAGTCGATGATGACAAAATCAAAGCATTAATCGAATTGGATCATCATGTAACTGAGCGTGAGATAGGAGAGAAGTAAAATATACCAAAATCAACCGTTCATTATTACATAAAAAGTCTTGGACTGGTGAAAAAGCTTGATATTTGGGTACCACATGTATTGAAAAAAATTCATTTAACACACCGTGACCGTGATTAAATGGATTGTTTACAACAACGTTAGTCGAAGACGATCATGGTCCAAGCATGGTGAACCAGCTCAAACCACTTCAAAGGCTGATATCGACCAAAAGAAGGTTATGCTGTCTGTTTTGAGGGTGACGTATATTTTGAGCTGCTTCCAAGGAACCAAACGATTAATTCGGATGTTTACTGTCAACAATTGGACAAATTGAATACAGCCATCAAGGAGAAGCGACCAGAATTGGTCAATCGTAAAGGTGTCATATTCCACCAGGACAACGCTAGACCGCACACATCTTTGGTCACTCGCCAGAAACTGAGTGAGCTTGGCTGGGAACTTTTGATGCATCCACCATATAGCCCTGACCTTGCACCATCAGACTACCATTTATTTCGATCTTTGCAAAACTCCTTAAATGGTAAAACTTTCGGCAATGATGAGGCTATAAAGTCGCACTTGGTTCAGTTTTTTGCAGATAAAGGCCAGAAGTTCTATGAGCGTGGAATACTAAATTTGCCAGAGAGATGGGAAAAGGTTATCGAACAAAATGGCAATTATATATTTGATTAAAGTTCATTCTAAGTTTTATTTAAAATGCATTTACTTTCATTTAAAAAATCCGCAATTACTTTTTGGGCAACCCAATAAATATAATGTGTACGCGGGGCGGCTGACTGTTTCGCAGCCTAAATTACTTAATGAAACAAATGATAGTCTCCAGTGATATCCACCTTTCATATCGTGAATACAATGCCATTTTACCACTGAAAAATTATTCTTTAAATTTCTCTTCAAAATGGTTTTGAACGGCTGCTTTCAGCTCACTGTAATCTGAAAGCCGTCGTTCCCATAACTCCTTTTTTACATAGGAAAAGGTTAAAGGTCACTGGGGGTCAGATCCGCACTGTAGGGTGGATGGTCAATTGCTTTAAATGCAGTAACTATTAAGGAGTGTTGTCTTGAAGTAACAGCACTTCGCGCGCCAACTAACCACATCACCTCTGTACGACTGTCTCACGCGACTGGGTTACCAAATTAGCGTTCTCTTGGGCAGATAATTAACTAACAATATTCCCTCGCTAACCCAATATAAGCCATAATCTTCGATGCTGACTTTTCCATTTTGCTTTTTTAGTGGCCTTTCTCCTTTTTTTTACCACTGAAATCAAAATCTCTCCAGCTCGTTCTTTACTTATCTGTAAGCCTTCTGCCATTTGCCACAATTTAATTTTTCTATCAGCCAGCACTAATTTTTCGACTTTCTAAATATTTTCTTCGAGCGCCCCGTTTGGGGGTCTTCTACTTTTTTTGCCCAAAATGTAAGAGTTAGACTTGCACGACATGAGGTTTCGACAAGACGGTGCGACATGGCACGCAGCACGCGTAACAATGGACTTATTGAGAGACGAGTGGGGTGAACATTTTATTTCACGTTTGAGACCGGTCAATTGGCCGCCTAGATTTTTTTGCGGCGATGTTAAATCTAAAGTCTATAGAGGCAAGCCCGCTTCAAGTGACGCATTGGTGGACAACATTGATGCATTTGTTCGTGAGATACCGGTCGAAAAGTTGGGAAGAGTATGCCAAAGTTGGACTAAGCGGATGGATCATTTGAGGCGCAGTCAACAGTTCCATGAAATAATTTTCAAACATTAAATTATATTTTTATTTTACGACGAACCCAGCGTTACCCACCTCCCGCCCAACCGACCGAGGGACGCGTCTGAGGGAAATCGAAAAACCCAATAGATCGGTGATCGAAAGCCAGTAACAGTCCGGACTGCCCTGAATCAGAAACCGATCTCGTAAGGTCGCGGTTACACTTGCCTCTTACACGTAACAGCTACAGGTTTGTTCATCAGCTGCTATAAAATTGCACGGGGGAAAAGAAGAGGGAATTTATTTAATTATTTAAAGCACTCAGTAAGTAGATTTTGATACAGAAAAGTGAGTCAGGGGAATTAATGTTAAGGAAATGTATATTAAAATCGTTACACAACGATCTAAAAGGGTCGTGCATTTCAAAGTTTGTTCTGCACGAGCCCAATGAAAGGGGCCTAAAGTGTATAGATGATCTTAATGGGATGGTAAGGTTAAGCTCACTAATTAGGAAACAACGACCGTACTATCGGTTCAAACAAGGATTTTATGAATTTTTCTGTGTTTTTTTTTAAACGCTCCTTAAAAAATCACGCTTTATATACTACAAATATGGCACCTCCCCAATTAGTGGTGTAGATCTTGATGGTTTTCCAATCAAATGAAGGCACCTACAGTTTATGCTAAGCAGCCACTGAATGGCAAGTCCGAAATACACACGGAGGGGTTGACAGTCTCTTAAATACTTACTTAATTCTTAAAAATTGTTACATTTTATAAATATTGAAAAAATTTCATATCATAATTTATGTATTAATATAAATTAAATATCCTAAAAATAACCAATTTAGAACATCAAATCTCATGCGGTCGAAGGTGTGAGTTAATTCTTGTACAGACTAAAATATTTTAAAATAAAACCATGTAAATTAAAATAAGGAAAAATTAATTAAAAACTTAGCTAAACTGGAGAAATTAGAAAACAAAATATCAATAATTTATATTAAGTAAAATTAAACAAAAAATGCATTAAAATAATGAAAAAATGAAAATAAAAATTAATTAAAATTCGTTTGAACAAAGTTACCTACATAAAAAAAATTAAATTTAATAAAAGAAATAAAGAAAACTAAAACAACAACAAAATTTAATTGCTGCCCAATTCCCTGACTTTATTGTCTATATAAAAACCCAAATCTAAGAAATTTTTCTTTAAAAAACTCAGCGGATTTTTGCGAGCACAATATGCCTTTCGGTGCTCTCCTATTCATTGTAGATATATTTCAATTTTTGCTCTTTTCTACAACCAGCCGTGCACATATACACAAATATATATACTCGTGTGTACACATACATATTTGCACTGATTAAAGTTGATAAGTTGATAAGTGCCCTCAACAGTCAGCAGGTGGCGGCTCACCATTTGGACAATAATAATTGTCAACGCGTGTGTGTGTTTGTATATACGCGTATGCATGTGTGTGTGGAATGGAATATTTATATAGTTTAATAGAAAAAAAGAAAAAAGTCGAATAAAGTATTTCGTTGTATATGTGCACATTGGCTCTCTTATCTGTTCCAGGAATTGCATACACGGACGAACGGAAACGCCTTGGAATTAAATATTTCACAATTTTGGGGCTTTTTCATTGTCTTGGAAATTTCAAAGACTGCCAATAAATTTTTCGTGTGGGAAAAAACATTATGTATATACATACTACAGATACATACATATGTACATATATAACATTTGGGGTTTTGTTGCCACTAAAACGTTTTTCGGCCGAGTTCGCTCTACAATTTCGTGAAGTTTTTGCAACAAATGGAGAAACCTACAGTTTTAGGCCGTCTCCAGAAAGATTTTTATTATGAAAAAAAAAAAAACACTCGGAGGGGTAGCCATATTCTGCCCAGACACTGCATTTTTTTCAACTATATATGCGGGTTCCGTGATAGGCGACTACAATAATTAAGTGTTACATAATCTTCAGCCGCCTCAATTCGTTTTACAAGATGTGAGCTTGGATCTCATTAGAGGTCTGGTTAAGAATCGACGTACTTCTCAAATGCTCAGAGAAGTTTCTCAAGTTGAAAAAAAGTTGCTTTCAATTCGAGCTCAAATATAAGATTGTCAAATATCTCCCTTCCGCTTTTTTGTCTTTTGAATTTCGCGGCTAGGTACAAAGCGCTACAGAGCTTGTATCTGGCAACGCTATACATAATTTGAAAGGTCTTGACATAACCTACAAAACAACGCTATGCATGATTAGTTTGGATATTGCGTTCAACAGTTATAGACGTGCAAACATGGAGTTCACTAACACCGAAATTCACGCTATTTT